CGTTCTACACGAAGGGCACGGACGTTGTGGGCAATCTGACAATCAATCCTGCGACCCTGACGATCACGACGGAGAGCGCGGAGAAGGAATACGACGGCACTGAGTTGACGGCTGACGGTTCCATCAGCGGCTTCGTGAACAACGAGACGGCAACGTTCGCGGTGACGGGCAGCCAGACGGAGGTCGGCAGCAGCACGAACAGCTACAGCCTGACGTGGGACGGCACGGCCGTGTCCACGGACTACACGCTGAGCGAGGACCTTGGCACGTTGACGGTGAAGAAGAGCACGAAGGAGCTGTACGTGGAGAGCGCCGACGGCGAATGGACGTACGACGCTGCGGCTCACACGAACCACACGTACACGGTGCACTACGGCACGGAGACGATCGCGGGCACGGAAGGCCAGACGACGTTCACCCTGAGCACGGGCGACGTGTTGACGGTGACTCCTTCTCAGGAGGCGACAATCACCCACGTGTCGGAGAACACGGTGTCCAACGCGTTCACGTGGACGGTGGAGAACGAGCCGTTCTACACGAAGGGCACGGACGTTGTGGGCAATCTGACAATCAATCCTGCGACCCTGACGATCACGACGGAGAGCGCGGAGAAGGAATACGACGGCACTGAGTTGACGGCTGACGGTTCCATCAGCGGCTTCGTGAACAACGAGACGGCAACGTTCGCGGTGACGGGCAGCCAGACGGAGGTCGGCAGCAGCACGAACAGCTACAGCCTGACGTGGGACGGCACGGCCGTGTCCACGGACTACACGCTGAGCGAGGACCTTGGCACGTTGACGGTGAAGAAGAGCACGAAGGAGCTGTACGTGGAGAGCGCCGACGGCGAATGGACGTACGACGCTGCGGCTCACACGAACCACACGTACACGGTGCACTACGGCACGGAGACGATCGCGGGCACGGAAGGCCAGACGACGTTCACCCTGAGCACGGGCGACGTGTTGACGGTGACTCCTTCTCAGGAGGCGACAATCACCCACGTGTCGGAGAACACGGTGTCCAACGCGTTCACGTGGACGGTGGAGAACGAGCCGTTCTACACGAAGGGCACGGACGTTGTGGGCAATCTGACAATCAATCCTGCGACCCTGACGATCACGACGGAGAGCGCGGAGAAGGAATACGACGGCACTGAGTTGACGGCTGACGGTTCCATCAGCGGCTTCGTGAACAACGAGACGGCAACGTTCGCGGTGACGGGCAGCCAGACGGAGGTCGGCAGCAGCACGAACAGCTACAGCCTGACGTGGGACGGCACGGCCGTGTCCACGGACTACACGCTGAGCGAGGACCTTGGCACGTTGACGGTGAAGAAGAGCACGAAGGAGCTGTACGTGGAGAGCGCCGACGGCGAATGGACGTACGACGCTGCGGCTCACACGAACCACACGTACACGGTGCACTACGGCACGGAGACGATCGCGGGCACGGAAGGCCAGACGACGTTCACCCTGAGCACGGGCGACGTGTTGACGGTGACTCCTTCTCAGGAGGCGACAATCACCCACGTGTCGGAGAACACGGTGTCCAACGCGTTCACGTGGACGGTGGAGAACGAGCCGTTCTACACGAAGGGCACGGACGTTGTGGGCAATCTGACAATCAATCCTGCGACGCTGACAGTGACGACGCAGAGCGCGGAGCGCGAGTACAACGGCGAGGCCCTGACGGCCGGCGGTACGGTGACGGGCTACAAGAACAACGAGACGGCGACGTTCACGGTGACGGGCAGCCAGACGGAGGTGGGCAGCAGCACGAACAGCTACANACAACGAGACGGCGACGTTCACGGTGACGGGCAGCCAGACGGAGGTGGGCAGCAGCACGAACAGCTACACGCTGGTGTTCGACCAGACGGCGGCAGAGACGGACTACACGGTCAGCGAGAGCCTCGGCACGCTGAAGGTGACGGCGAACACGACGACGCTGACGATCGTGTCCGCTACGGACAGCAAGGAGTACGACGGCACAGCCCTGACGGCTCCGACGTACACGGTGACCTACGGCGAAGAGAGCGGCACGGCGACGGCGAACGCTGACGGCACGTACAGCTACGAGCTGAGCACGGGCGACGAGATCGTGATCACGCCTGCCGCGACAGCGACGGTAACGCACGTGGCGGAAGGCACGGTGCCCAACGCGTTCAGCTACACGCTTGAGAATTCCGATTATTACAGCAACGTGACGAAGACGGAAGGCAACCTGAACATCACGACGAGATCTGTGACCCTGAAGAGCGGCAGCAAGGCGCGCGAGTACAACGGTAGCGCTTTGACGAACGCGGAGGTTGAGGGCACCAACGCGAATGGCCTGACGGTGGAAACCGGCTGGGTCGAAGGCGAAGGCGCGACCTATGCGTTCACGGGCACAATCACGGAGGTCGGCAGCACGCCGAACGCGTTCACCTACACCTTGAATAACAATACGGTTGCGACGAACTACAATATCACGAA